ATTCGATAGAGGAGACTTTGCTCTCCAACACGCATTAATTAGTTTTCTCCACACTTTTGATTCTGGAGGAAACAAATGTTTAAAACATTTATATATAAATGTTTATTAGCTATAGGTTGATGTATGCCTATGTTCTTCCCCTAAAACTGTTGTCAAAAGAATATTATTTTTATGATGTATTATACAAATGATTAGCTAAATGATGATTAGATGAAAAAAACATAAGAAAAAATATCATTCTTCATCCCAGATATTTTGAATATCCAGTAACTGCTGTGGACTGATGCGAATATGACCATTCAGCAGCTGCTCTGGATTATCGATCAGACGTGCTCGAAATTGTTCTGTTGAAATAGTTAAATTGAATAGACGTGGTGATTTCGAGCGATTAAATATTGAAGCTGGGAAAGGAGGATCAAAACAGGTAACTGTTATTTGAGAGATGGTTAGATCTGATGAGTTCATTTGAGCTAGACGAAAGGCATTTTGATGCTTGATAATGATGAAGATTCCATTATTGCAATCAGATAATGTTAGTACTTGATTTAAAGTCGATTTAACGGTTGTTTGGATTTTAAATGTGTGGTTGGTCATAGTGCTAGATTGTGAGGTGCGACGACAGGAGACAGATCCATTTTTATCCGCATCGAACTGATGAATATCACGAATTCCAGAAATTGAACCTAAAGAAAATTAATACTGTCACAGAAAGTTTACGTAATAAAATGATACTTTTGGAGGAGAGTAGATTCCAACGCGGCATTAAACGATTTTCGAATTCATTGTTGATGACATCAGCAGATAGCCAACGCACTTCGATAGGACGATTAGGTTCGGACATATAAGTAGATGGACAGTTTGAAGCTTCTATGCGAGGAGATCTTGCCACCACCATACGATCATTTTTTTCAAGACACCATTCAAAAAATTGTTTTGGTGTTGAAAACGATGCATTTGGTCCACCTTTGAGTAAGTGTTGTGTAGCCGTCAATTTCACCACAGCACCAACACCATCACATGGTCCTTTGACGTGTCCTGACGAGCTGAATGGCCATGATGCTTCGATCTGAAAATCTTGATGATGATGAGCTAAATTGTGTATACTATATTTATCTAAAAGAAACAAGATTTCATTTGACCAGTTTGCAGGATCGAATACTTACTTTTAAAGTGAGCGGATGCTCCATCACTCACATAATTAATTTTTAAAATATTTGGATATTCTTTTCTCAGAAATTCGATGATAATTTTCTGACCAGAATAGACAAATCTTGTATCATGTGCAAGATAGTCCGAGATGATCACCATATTGCGATGTTCTTCACCAATTTTTATATATACGGTAAAAATAGTGACTTGTTGACGTGAATAATATGCAGATTGAACTTCTCTCTGTATAACGAATACAAAATTTTGTGCAAAGTCGACTTGAACAACTGCAAAAGTAGTAATGCTAGACTTTTCTTTGATAAATGCAATATAATCACGTTGTTCACGTGTATAAAACTGTGTGTGATAAATTTAGGCCATAGGTTATCGATTTCTTCTAAAAGAGCTCGAAATGTACCAGTTAAATGAAGAAGTTCATAACGTGAATTAAGTTTCTTCCAAATAGACCAGGAAGCTGAATCTTGAATTTCAACATCTATACCATCAGATAGAATGTCAGATGCTTTCAAATGAAGACAATCAGTACATATTCGATAATAACAATGTTCAGAAGGAAATGTGCAAATTGTTTTTTCGACTAATTGTTTTATTGTCACATGCTGTTGGAGTGATTTTGATGCAGCCTAAAATTTAGAAACTGAATAGAATCCTAAAGCACAATGAATTACTTGCTTGAAGAAGTAGATCAGCGTTCTCGTGATAAATGCACATACACGATTCATGAGGTGTTCGTTCTCTCACCCACGTTGGTCGTAATGAAAAAAGCTTTGATCTACTTATTTCCATGTTTGGATATTTCATTTTAAATTGTTCAAATGTTTCTCCAATTGTTAGATGAAGAAAACGTAACGGAACTGGAGTTCTGAATGGTGGTGGATGGATGACTTGTTTTTTGTACGATGTTTCACGACTAACTTCATCACTTGTATAAAAGTTATAGACCGCCAGTTCTATTTGATTATCAAGTGGTTTATTTCCTCGTCGATCTTCGGGGCGTGAAAAATCTCCGGTCGTTGCTCGCAATTTAATCGACTGCCGTGCATGGTGTTGCTAACCACGAAACCAATTAGAAATTCGATCTCTGCCCCATTCCGGTGGTAACATAGTCATAAGTCGTTGTTGTTCATTGTTGTCACTAATGCTGAAAAGTTCGCGTAGACTATCAAGAATCCAGATAGCATCATCAGTTGAAAGATCAAGTGAAGACAATGTTCTTGGTTCATTATTATGACGAGAACGTGGTAAAAGTATATTACTAAACTCTTTTAATTTGAAATACGTCTCGTCTACAGCATTGGCAATTTGTTTAGTATTTCGAATATGAAAAAACAAATTTTTTATGTTTAATCTGTAAAGTATGGAACTTACAAGTCGATCTTCTTAACATTCACATACTCAAACACCTGATTCAATTTCAGTTTAGCATCTTCTTGTTCTAAGCGTACATAATCATCATCCATTGGAGAATTTTGTTGACTATCTGAACCACTATCGAGGTTGTCGTAGTTGAAACTTCCTTGACTATCATCAATATGCATATCTGCTTGTTCATCACTCATATACCGATTTCTTTCTTTTACGAAACATGGTGAACAGAGATAATCAGCCTTTGAAAGTTGCTTGGAAGATCCATTTAAAATTGCTTCGTTATGGTTGTTGATAAACTCGGCCAATTGCTCGCTGATTAATCTTTTTCCTTTTGGATGTGATGGTTTTGCACCAATTTTTGAAAAACGTTTTTTTCCATTTGGTAAAACTTCATCATGATAAGGATGAGCACACCATATTCGAGATTTAGATGGCATAATTAAAAATGATTTCAATAAGTGAGGAGAAAAGATCAGTAAATAACAAGATAAACATAAATCAGAACAGATGTTTATGAATCATACATTTTCGTTGACGAATCGCTGATTTTCACCAACATAAAAAAAGCCTCCATTTTTTATAACACTAATCTTATCGAATGATGTCTAATCCAATCGAAACATCCTTCGCTTACACATGATACTATGATTAACAAAGTCTTCTTCACAGAATTTGTAGCGAAAGAAGCTAAACATATATCAACCTATAGCTAATAAACATTTATATATAAATGTTTTAAACATTTGTTTCCTCCAGAATCAAAAGTGTGGAGAAAACTAATTAATGCGTGTTGGAGAGCAAAGTCTCCTCTATCGAATTGAGTACTTCCTTATTTTATGCCATNGCCGTTTCGTGTACGGCCGTAAACGGTGGCTGTATACGGCCGTATACGACACGGCGATTTACGGTCGTAATACGGTGCATGGAAATACGGCGAATTTACGGCCGCTTACGGCCGTAAAATCGCCGTATACGGCAGTATACGACGCCGTAAACGGCCGTATACTGCCGTGTCTGGTTGCTGTAATGCTCGTTCTGGGATTGAATCATTAAATTCGATGACCATCTCGAAATTCATTGAAACTTTCAGAGCTTATACAGTTTGTTGTGCTGAACATTTTGGTATAAAATTATCCAGTATTCGATTCGATTTTGATGAACATATAGGTGACACAATATAAATAAATATTTTGTTTTTATGACTATTATGCATAAAAAAATGTATCTTTCTTGAAATAAAGATGATAGAGCTATAGTATTGGCTTAGATTAAAAATCGGTGAATATATTCGAATTCAGCATGTAAAGCTACACCAGAATCTATAGGAAATATATGAACTGTTCAATACCCATGTTATGTCTGTATGATCATATGAGATATATGAAGAAAGAAAAGTGGATGCAAAAAAGAGATTCAGAATTCAATTAAAAAATCAAATGATATAAAATAAAGAAATAATTAATTCGATAGAGGAGAATTTGCTCTACAACGTGCATTAATTAGTTTTCTCCCCACTTTTGATTCTGGAGGAAACGCATGTTGAAAAGATTTATATATGAATGTTTATTCGCTATAGGTTGATGTATGCTTATCTTCTTCCCCTAAAACTGTTGTCAAAAGAATATTATTTGTATGATGAATTATACAAATGATTAGCTAAATTATGATTAGATGAAAAAAAACATAAGAAAAAAATCATTCTTCATTCCAGATATTTTGAATAACCAGTAACTGCTATGCACTGATGCGAATATTACCATTCAGCAGCTGCTCTGGATTATCGATCAGACGTGCTCGAAACTGTTCAGTTGAAATAGTTAAATTGCATAGACGTGGTGATTTCGAGCGATTAAATATTGAAGCTGGGAAAGGAGGATCAAAATAGGTAACTGTTATTTGAGAGATGGTGAGATTTGATGAGTTCATTTGAACTAAACGAAAGGCACTTTGATGCTTGATTATGATGAAGATCCCATTATTGCAATCAGATAATGTTAGTACTTGATTTATAGTCGATTGAACGGTTGTTTGGATTTAAAATGTGTGATTGGTCAGAGTATTAGATTGTGAAGTGCGACGACAGGAGATAGACCCATTTTTATGCGCATCGAACTGATGTATATTACGAATTCCAGCAATCGGATCTAAAGAAAATTAATACTGTCACAGAAAGTTTACGTAATAAAATTATACTTTTGGAGAAGAGTAGATTCCAACGCGGCATTAAACGATTTTCGAATTCATTGTTGATGACATCAGCAGATAGCCAACGTACTTCGAGAGGATGATTAGGTTCGAACATATAAGTAGATGACCAGTTTGAAGCTTCCATTCGACGAGATCTTGCCACCACCATACGATCATTTTTTTCAACACACCATTCAAAAAATTGTTTTGATGTTGAAAACGATGCATTTGATCCATCTTTGAGTAAGTGTTGTGTAGTCGTCGATTTCACCACAGCACCAACACCATCACATGGTCCTTTGCCGTGTCCTGACGAGCTGAAGGAGCATGATGCTTCGATCTGAAAATCTTGATGATGATGAGTTAAATTGTGTATATTATATTTATCTAAAAGAAATAAGATTTCATTTGACCAGTTTGAAGTATCGAATACTTACTTTTAAAGTGAGCGGATGCTCCATCACTCACATAATTAATTTTAAAAATATTTGGATATTCTTTTCTCAGAAAGTCGATGATGATTTTCTGACCAGAATAGACAAATCTTGTATCATGTGCAAGATAGTCCGAGATGATCACCAAATTGCGATGTTCTTCACCAATTCTTATATATACAGTAAAAATGGTGGCTTGCTAACGTGAATAATATGTAGATTGAACTTCTCTCTGTATAACCAATACAAAATTTTGTGCAAAGTCGACCTGAACAACTGCAAAAGTAGTAATGCTCGACTTTTCTTTGATCAATGCAATATAATCACGTTGTTCACGTGTATGAAAACTGTGTGTGATAAAATTAGGCCATAGGTCATCGATTTCTTCTAAAAGAGCTCGAAATATACCAGTTAAATGAAGAAGTTCATAACGTGAATTAAGTTTCTTCCAAATAGACCAGGAAACTGAATTTTGAATTTCAACATCTATACCATCATATATAATGTCAGATGCTTTTAAATGAAGACAATTAGTACATAATCGATAATAACAATGCTCAGAAGGAAATGTGCAAATTGTTTTTTCGACTAATTGTTTTATTGTCACAAGCTGTTGAAGTGATTTTGATGCAGCCTAAAATTTAGAAACTGAATAGAATCCTAAAGCATAATGAATTACTTGCTTGAAGAAGTAGATCAGCGTTCTTGTGATAAATGCACATACATGATTCGTGAGGTGTTCGTTCTCTCACCCATGTTGGTCGTAATGAAAAAAACTTTGATCTACCTATTTCCATGTTTGGATATTTCATTTTAAATTGTTCAAATGTTTCTCCAATTGTTAGATGAAGAAAACGTAGCGGAATTGGAGTTCTAGATGGTGATGGATGAATGACTTGTTTTTTGTACGATGTTTCACGACTAATCTCACCACTTGTATAAAAGTTATAGACCGCCAGTTCAATTTGATTATCAAGTGGTTTATTTCCTCGTCGATCTTCGGGGCGTGAAAAATCTCCAATCGTTGTTCGCAATTTGATCGACTGCCGTGCATGGTGTTGCGAACCACGAAACCAATTATAAATTCGATCTCGGCCCCATTCCAGAAGTAACATAGTCATAAGTCGTTTTTGTTCGTTGTTGTCACTAATGCTGAAAAGTTCGCGTAGACTATCAAGAATCCAAATAGCATCATCAATTGAAAGATCAAGTGAAGATAATGTTCTTGGTTCATTATTATGACGAGAACGTGGTAAAAGTATATCACTAAACTCTTTTTATTTGAAATACGTCTCGTCTACAGCATTGGCAATTTGTTTAGTATTTTGACTATGAAAAAACAAATTTTTTATGCTTAATCTGTAAAGTATGGAACTTACATGTCGTCGATCTTCTTAACATTCACATACGCAAACACCTGATTCAATTTCAGTTTAGCACCTTCTTGTTCTACGCGTACATAATCATCATCCATTGGAGAAATTTATTGATTATCTGAACCACTATCGAGGTTGTCGTAGTTGAAACTTCCCTGACTATCATCAATATCCATATCTCCTTGTTCATCAATCATATACCGATTTCTTTCTTTTACGAAACATGATGAACAGAGATAATCAGCCTTTGAAAATTGCTTGGAAGATCCATTTAAAATTGTTTCGTTATGGTTGTTGATAAACTCGGCCAATTCCTTGCTGATTAATCTTTTTCCTTTTGGATGTGATGGTTTTTGCACCTATTTTTGAAAAACATTTTTTTCCATTTGGTAAAACTTCACCATGATAAGGATGAGCACACCAAATTCGAGATTTAGATGGCATAATTAAGAATGCTTTTAATAAGAGAGGAGAAAAGACAGGTAAATAACACGATAAATATAAATCAGAACAGATGTTTATGAATCATACATTTTTGTTGATGAATCGCTGATTTTCACCAGCATAAAAAAGCCTCCATTTTCTATAACACTAATCTTATCGAATAATCTCTAATCCAATCGAAGCATCCTTCCCTTACACATGATACTATGATTAGCAAAGTCTTCTTCACAGAATTTGTAACGAAAGAAGCTAACATATATCAACCTATAGCTAATAAACATTTATATATAAATGTTTTAAACATGCGTTTCCTCCAGAATCAAAAGTGGGGAGAAAACTAATTAATGCATGTTGCAGAGCAAATTCTCCTCTATCGAATTAATTATTTCTTTATTTTATATCATTTGATTTTTTAATTTAATTCTCAATCTTTTTTTTTCATCCGCTTTTCTTTCTTTGTTTATCCCATACGATCATACAGACAAAACATGGATATTGAACAGTTCATATATTTCCTATAGATTCTGGTGTAGTTTTACATGCTGAATCTGAATATATTAATAAATTTTTAATCTAAGCAAATACTATAGTTCTATCAATTTTATTTCAAGAAAGATACGTTTTTTTATGCATAATAGTCATAAAAACAAAATATCTATTTATATTATGTCACCTATATGTTCATCAAAATCGAATCGAATACTGGATAATTTTATACCAAAATGTTCAGCGCAACAAATTGTATCAGCTCTGAAAGTTTCAGTGAAGTTCGAGATAGTCATCGAATTGAATAATTCGATCTCACAAATTTTGTCATCAAAATTTAGTGAAAATTTCGAATATAAAATAGTTTTTGACGTTGCTCTCTCGAAAATCATAGGTGGGAAGAAAACTAATTAGTACATCTTGTAAAGCAAGTTGAGCTCTATCGAACTGGTAATACCACCATTCTGCAGAATTCGGGTTTTCTTATTAACTTTTTTCAATACTTTTTCTCGTTGACATGTTGTCCTAGTGAACATGTATATCAAAAAGAATCATAGAAATTTTTTTCAATTCATAAGGATTCTGACGCAGTTTTTCATGGATAATCTAAATCTGTAATTGGTTTTAAAATTTGAGCGACGAATGATGAATTATCATCGTTTTTTTTTGCATAAAAATGCAGAGTGCATAAAAGGCATTAATAGTATTTGGCCTGTATCTATGCGAAAACACAGTCGAACTCTAACAAATTTATTACTAAAATGATCAGCGTAAAAAGCTCTACAAATCCTGAAAGTTTCAATCGATTTGGGCGTGGTCACCGGATCGACTGACGGGATCCCATGGATACACCCTGTTATAAATGTATAGCATATATTCATTTTATTAAAGATGAAAAACTCGTCTTAAATCTTTTACTATCTTATCTGAAATCGAAATCAATGAATGCTCGACATGTCACAGTTAAAATAATTCTTCATCTAGCTCAATCGTCTCTTACTTCATCGAAACAAATTCAAGTATATTAAATGATCTTATGTTAAATCCTAGTTCAAATGAAGATCTATGGTTGATTAAAGAAAAACATGGTTTCTATATTGAATGTGAATATTAGTATGTTGGCCTATTGAAAGATGTTATTAATTCACTTTTGGTTCAACATGTGACTGAACATACAAGTGATAATGTTCGAAGAAATGAATTTCATGATATTGATTTGGATTTTATTGAATCTGGAAAAGCATCTCGTTTCGCTGCATGTATCTACGAGGAAAGAACTGTGGAGAACGTCGAATAAAGGAAAAAACAAATTATTTGTTTCCTTGAAACGATAATTTTAGACAATATTTATTTTTTCTTAACAATTTGTTTGATGAAAACAAAATAGATAGAAAAATGTCTTTATTTATTGAACACTTTTTCCTTGTAAAGCAGAAATAAATATTATTTTAATACTAAAAAGCATATTGTACCTTGTATACGAATCCCAACATAGGATATCGGGTAACATTTCTATATGCATATAATCGAAATTATGGTCTTGTTGTGTATTCATCTTTTGAAATAGAATATAGCCAATGGAATGAAATCAGATTAATATAAAAATATTCACTCATTAGATAAGTATCAGAAGAAAGAAACCTATAAAGCACCAGTTCCCACTGTAAAGGGTGCTTGTGCGTCGATCGTTGGTATTCACTCCAGCAATGCTGCGATTTGAAAATGTATATTCTATGTCTGCAATTTATGTGCTCTATCATTGCGAGACAATATTTCTGTTGCGTCGTGTTCGTCATGCAAGCCGACATATCAGTCTCAATATTCCTCAATGTTTACAGATGGGTGTGGATATGTGGGTTTGTGTCGTCTTTTAATGCACATCCATGCCCACACATTCTCTTAGAGTTTGTTCTTCAAGTTAAACGAATATCTGCATAAGTTTTTGCATATTTATCTTTAATTATGCTCTTTCAATATGATAAGTTCACTGCCGGTTTCAAGACCAACCCCGTTTGTTGTTTACAAATTTTTCTAACCTTATTTCTTTTTTTATTATTTGTCTCATTTTTTGATTGTTTCATATGCTTTGAATATATAATGCAGAACCGTGATGAGTGTTTTGATATTTCAATAAATACCATGAAACACGGCAGCAAAATTAACTCTGCATTTCGTCTAAATTATTTTATTTCTATCATATTTATTATTATTCCATTTTGTGGGACTCACATATATTTTCGAAGAAAATAGTGAGTGTAAGTTTTAAGTTCGAGGTTTTGCGCCCGCGCCCGCGCCGCCACCCAGCGTGCAGACCGCGGCCCTCCCGCGGGCCCGCGCAGCGTGCGC